ATATTTGTTAGTGCACATAAGCACTGCTAAGCACACAACTAAAAAAGACGCCAATCTTTTAGAATACACACTCAGTACAACTAATGTATTCTCCAGGTCAAAATATTGACTACATTATGAGGTCTGGAAGCTAGATATGTATACTGACAGCCACCACAGAACTAAGGGTCCATTAGTTATGAATCGCGAAATAAGTGCACAACCGAAATCACTAGATTGGAGATATATTACAGAAGGGTAACATGGTTTCCATCATCAGAGGGCAACAACATAGATTTAGTCTAGTTTCTTTAGCCTCAGAGTTTTTCACTTGTATGATTCATCGCCGACCTATGCAGCAACTGCCCCAGCAGTTGATGGCTTCAACAGAAGGCTAGAAAATGGTGCTAAGACGTAAGACTCGCGAACATCTACGGGTAGGCATTCTGCTTCTAGGCAAATACACTGGTATTACAAATACGTGAACCAGTTTACCTAGTTCACTAATATGTTCCTACTTTCTTAGAATTATATGCGTTCCCCCTGGACTCATTCATTTCTCTCTCCTTTCTGTTGTGTCTCACTGTACTCTCACCACCTCAAACCCAGTCCTCTTATTCTTCTTCCATTTGTTTTACCCACCCATTCTTCCAGTGCCTCTTTCCATAGAGTGTTTGTTGGCCTGAGTGAATGAAATGTGTAAGTCCTAGTAGCACCATTACCCTAGTACAAGCCCGACATTCCGTTCACAAAAAACATATGTAATTATTATTGAGTCCTGCACAGATGCAGCTGTTCAAGGGATATATTTTACTGGAATTCACCGGAAATAAAAGTTTTTCTGGTTCAACAAGAGGTGAGTGCCAAGAAATCTCCTGGTTAATATGGATTCGTCGTGAGATATTGGATATTGTAGGTGGAGTTAACACAGTGGTGATTCGAAGGTTGCGTTACGGTCACCAACTGGTAGGTGTGTTCTGCCATATGATATAATGCCGATACACTTCATTTGTGTGATTCATCGTGCACGCTTTAAACGTCGTGCACACCTCAAAAACAGCACATTTATCCATGTCTTTGTGATACTTTATTTTCATCCGAAGGTAGATTGTATCGTAAAGAAGTGTATTAACCATAGTGAAGCAGTAAAACTGAAATCTGCGTTCCATAAACTACAATAACACCTTAACAGTCCTCTCTTTTGCCCATTAGTTTCCCCAAGATTTAGAGACTGTCTAAATTCACTTTGAGTCGAATACGACTTACAACAACCGATCTGTATTTGTAAATCTTCTTCATAATACCTAGATGTATTTGCTGTCCTCAGCATATATGAATTCACAATTATATTCATACATTAACATAGAAAATTATACATGTTAACGACTAAATTAAGTTAAATGTATTTGCTTAGAAGTGTTAGTATCCTTACGTGCATTAGGTAAACGGAATATTTTGTGCATTGAACCTTGGCACGTTAATTATGCCGAATAAAACTAAGGTAGTGACTCAGTTCGTTAGGATCCAATATCGTTTTTACGAGCTAGTATAAACCAATTTGATTTCTTTGTGCTTGCTTCTTGATTGTGAGGTAAAGGTTCCTGGTCTTCGGTAAACTTCTGCCTAATTCGTCCCACCACTCGACTATCGTAGCTTTGGTTGACTCCAGAAGAAGTGGTGCTGGGATTAATTATACGTTGTTTGTAGTATGCGGTGTGTTAAGACTTTGTTACTACTGTGAGTGGAGTTGATCCTTTCACCAGTTAGTCCTCCGGTATCGTTGTCAAAAGAAAAGAGATAATAATAATAACAGATGTAATTAGCGTAGGTTATTCAAACTAAAAGACAGAAAAAGAAATAAAGAAAACGTAAAAGCAGGTAGCCAATTAAATTTGAAGTTGATATATATATATATACATCAATAATAATAAGTGTGTAAGTGTAGTAGTTGGAGTAGTCAGGAGAGTAATACTGGAAAGAATGTAAAGAAGTAAAACGACGAATTTAGTTGTCTACCCATGAATGGTGTATGGGATTTTAAGAGGATAGGACATTTGGATGCAGCCCTTGTGTCGCTGCATTATTGTCCAGTCTCCGCTTAAAGGTGCCGTAGCTACATCTACCAGTAAGGAGTTCCAGGGACGGTAAACCCTCAGTGAAAAGAAGTGGGAGCGCACCCGAGTCCTTGCCCTGTGGTGAGCTATCCTTCTGAGATTTCCACGAGGAAGTCAATACATACTCAACTGAAAGGGTTTTTCCAAACAGTAGGCGAAACCTTCCTGTCATACCATCTGGTTGTAGACTGCTGCTTGAAAGCATCTGAAATAACACACCTTAATTACCACATATAGCCGGTTACTAAGATGTAGGGGTATCCAAAGTTTTCAATCTATCTTTCAACAAAGGAGTAGTTTCTCTCACTTGAACTGTTGGTCAACTTACGCAGTTGAAAATATAGATGCATCTATTCGGTACTGCCAGGTTTCTTACAAGATATGTGTGGATGTGATCGAGAGAAGTATCTGGGGCTAGGGAGATTTCTAAAATACATCTCGCATACTTTTTATCCTTGCACTTTCTGCAAACCATAGGACCACTGCTTAACATCTTACTAATATTATACCAAAAAATCTCCAAGCTAATAATTTGTAAAATGATCTATCGCTGTGAATATTTTGGTGACTACATAAAGTAGATTCGTCACAAATGATTATCTCTGTACACGAGTTGAATGGTCTCATTTGAGCGAGGTATAGTGAAGTCAACTCTTGCCTCACCTCGGTGATGAAGAACTATTATTAAGTTACTGTATATAAGCTTACATTTTGCGAATTCTAATTTAATATTGCTTTGATAAAGCTATTAGTACCAGATAGAGAAATCTCTGTAGAAGCAGTATCGTTTTGTTTTTTCATGTATTCGGAATTGAAGATTTTCTTTCTTATAATGACTATTATATACTCAACGCCCGACTGTTTATCAAACTGTTAAATGTGAACTTGGTTTGGATATATATATATATATATATATATATATATGTATATATATATATATATATATATATATATATGGGATTATTTCACCCACTATAGCTTCCTTTAGAACCCGTTTCCCTAATAAACCTAGATAGCTGGAACCATTCATACTGCCGTTCGTGGTCATTAGAAAAACTTTTAATCAACTTACTTTAGGACAGCTTTCTATTCTCGTCAACTTCAGAGCCTGACGAGATCAGTCTGTTTGCATCACTTAATTAAACTGGGATCTTTGGGAACGAACCAACCAGGAATTGATTGTGAAACAAATAGGCAGGAAGAAATGGAGATGGATTGGCCATACTCTGAGGAAACCATCAAGTGACATCACTAGACAAGCCCTTGAGTGGAACCCGAAAGGGAAGCGGCGAGTTGGTCATCAGTGCAAGGGTGACTTGGAGGAGGTCATGTGAAGAGGAGATGAAAACGTGTGGGCAGACTTGGAGCCAGGTGAAAACTCTAGCACAGAACAGAACGCAATGGAGACGCACGGCTGAAGCCCTATGTTCCTGTAAGAATTAAAGGATACAATAGAGAAACCATTTGGCTTCATGTCACACTGTCTTCACCGCCTTCTACGATAGATTTGATATGGTCTAAGGTTTCCTCGGAGCGAGAATTGCTGTTATACTCATATATGTGTTTAGATACGTCCTCCCTAAATACAGACCACATGTTCTCATCCTAAGGTTAAGCACGTAAAGACGTTTCTTATTTATATTTAAAATTAGTACTGCCTAGGAATATATAGTCATTTTAATTTAATTGAAAGAGATAATCACTGTTACCAATTCGTAAACAATAGGTTAAACAGAAAATATTTGTGTGCTTTTTCAGGTATGTGGATAGTTTCTATTTCAGGGGCTTATCACGCTGTGAAAATTAGTTTCTCCGTGGATTACTTGAAAGGAAAAATATTAAAGTTTCTTCACTACAGATTTCAGTGGGCAACTGCTCAAGGCCGATCACATACATCCTGTTTAGAGATGAAGTTTTCAGAATCTCATCTGTACAAAATACCTTAGAACCGTTTACAGACCGCCTTAGGGTAATTCGGAGCATACAGTTTCTTAGGTCTAACTTTTCAAACCCATACTCTCTAGAACGGAGAGTCAATGTAGTTGGTGTGCTTGTCGTCCCAGTGAAACACCCTAGTGCTGGTACACTCTTGTCTATCGATAGTGCCACCACCATAGTGTTAGCAACTCACCCTGTTGTGATAGCTGGTCTCTATGTAGCAACTATTCTACCAACCCTTCTGGCATAGTAAGACCTTCATAAATATTTGTTCCTGCCGAAATAGTTCGTTAGGTCACCTCATTTAGAAGCAGTTTTTGATCGCGACGTAAAGGACAACGTTTACGGACTATTCTCAGTGTAGGCTACTTGTCATACCTGCTGGAAAATAAACCTGGTTTGTATTGATGGTCTAATAGATTAAAGTGAGTGACGGTAAATCTCTAGAAATGTACAATCAAATGATTAATATACGATTATGACTGGACATTAGTAACTAGTGTAATGTGTCTAGTCCTTTCTCTGGTGCAGACTGAATTCTACCAGTCGGGTTTGCAGATACGCCCTACCAACTAGCACGAAACCTAGGTCCAAGGCTTCCTTCCGATCGCCTCCAACCATCTAATATACGATTATTTTTTATACAGACACGTTAATCTGAGAGTATTACAGTTGACATTCAATTTTATTTCGTTCCAAGGTAGTCGAAAAAATTAAACCTGTCAAATGATCCTATCTAGTATATAGAATTGAAGGTTTTTAAACTTGTGCTGTCGTACTATTTAATGTGATCACAAAAGCCTCACCATTAAGTTATGAAGCTCACAGAAGATAACAATTAAAATCATTTTCTGCCTACTATAAATACACAAATTTAAGATATAAAGTAATCATGTGTGTTTTCACCTTTTTGCTTCATTACAGTTACAATCTGGTGGTTCTTTCTCAAAGTTTCCAAGTACATTACAAATGCTGAAGACTGGATTAAGTCAACTAAACTATGCCGTATCTTCTCGTCTTGTTAAAAGTAGAAAACTAAGCAAATTTACTCGACTTCCTTTAACATGGTCTAGTTCAGAAGTTATATGTATGTCAAAGATACTATTCCTTTTTTAATATAGTCTTTTACATATAGACAGAGAAAATCAAGTTCCAAAAACTACAGAAATTTTAATTGTCGGTGGTGGTATTATTGGATGGGCGACAGCTTTTTGGATTCGTCAAAGCTCAAAACATTCTGTTACTGTTGTTGAAAAAGATTCTACGCTTGCCAATTCAGCTACACTTCTTGGCCTAGGGTCTATACGACAACAATTCTCAGAACCAGAGAATATACAAATGTCATTATTTTCAAGTCATTTCCTGAGAAATTTCAAAGAACACTTAGCAGTTGAAGGTTTGAAATAGGAGATATAGTAAATTCTTTAGTTTAGATCATTCATATAATATAGATATTGATTTCAATCCACAAGGTTGTTTAATGCTGGCAGATGCTAAAAATGCTGATTCAATGAAAGAGAACCACTTATTACAATTGTATGTCTTTATATTTATTAATTGTTTCTTTTTAATTTCACGATATATTATAGAGACTTAGGAGCAAGAGTTGAACTGTTAAGCAAACAAGACATCTCTACACGTTGGCCTTGGATAAACACAGAAGATATTGAAATAGGCTGTTATGGTTAGTCTTTCTTGAGAGTTTCCTATGGTTTATTTATCAAATGAATTGTTTAAAAGTGTATAGTAGGTTCCATTACAGATAAGATTTTTTTTGATAAATCACACAGTGTTATACAGTAATATTAACTGATGAAGTTTCGAGCACAAACTATTGCTTATGATCATATGAAGTCACTCACACAACTTTTACTTCATTTATATACATGAGTGAAATTGATTAAACATTTGAATAAAAATTAATATAGGATAATGTACATTCGGAAATAATAATATCAGTATTGTCCATTAAATACAATCTGATGGGAAATAATACGAGTGTTTTTATAGTCAAAATAAATAACTTGTTAGAATGTTATGATGTACGTGAATTGAAATAGAATTTTGAGATTATTTATTATCCTCCTCTGATTTGACTGGTGGTAATAATATCTTCCATATCTGTGGTGTTTGCATTGAGTCATTTCTGTTGCATTTGTTGGGTGTAGACTCGATGAACCAGGATTCAGTAATCAATCTCTCTCCACCTAACTATATTAATTTTTAGAATTTTGACTCTGTCCCACCCACCCTATTGTGGGGTTTTGTGTTAATGCATGCAATTGCCGAGCTTTTTTCTAAATTACTTATCTTCTCTGGGTCAACCATTCTTACCTTAGCTAAATTCTTATGTTCCGACAATCTGACTACCCCGACCTACTAGTTTGACCTATGTAGTTGACCTAACTCACAGTCATTGCAGGGTGTTTTGTAAATTATATTATTTTGTCTAATTGGGTCAACCGACAGAGTCCTTTAGCCTACAGAGCTTGTCCCTGAGTGAGTTTTTAGGTTTGAATGCCACCCTAATTCCTGCTTTGTTGAGAATCCTACGTAGGGTCTCAGATGTCCCCTCCTTATATGGTAAAACTGTAGATGCCTTATATTCTCTCTTATTTATGTTATGAGTATGTTTCGCCATTATTTTTATTTCGCTTTTGACCTTTTTTGATATTCCTAATGAATTTTATAGAATAGTTATTCAACACCAACGCCTCTTCTATCTGTTTCATTTCATCGTTTAGGTCTTTTTGTGCTACTTAGTGCTAATGCTCGGTTTGTTAGACACTTAACTAAGCCTTCCTTCACAGACAGATAACGGATGAGATGAGGTAAAGCCTAAATATCTATTAGAATGTGTTGGCTTTTTATAGACGCTAGTGTGCAGTTTACCTTCTTCTGTTCGTTTGATTTTACAATCTAACATAGCTAATTCTCCTTGTTCATTTTCTGATTCAAATGTAAATTGTAGTCCCTTCACTAGTAAGTTTACATGCGTCAAGAAGCTAGAGATATGTCCTGTTTTTAACACTGTGAAAGTGTCATCCACATATCTCCACCATATTTTTGGAGTAGGATTAAACGTATTAAGTGCCATATTTTCCCAGCTATCCATAAATATATCTGCTACGATAGGGGATATTGGTGATCCCCATTGCTACACCTTCTATTTGCTGATAAATTTTGCCCTAAAATTTAAAGACAGTAGGCGTGAGGTATAACTGAATTCCTAAAATGATTTTCTCAATGAGTAGCTTTGTTCGGGATTAGAAGTTAGTTCCCTTTTAACTGCTTCTAAAACCATATTGATTGGTATCTTAGTGTACAGACTAGTTATATCAAAATTGATCTTTTTTTTTCATTATCCTTTAATTGAATGTTATTTAGTTTCTTTTTCATCATTTCATATGAATGGTGTTATATACTACTGGCTGACTGATATAAGTAGTTAGATACACTACTGATAAGCTCGGCCCCAAGCTAGCCGCATAGCTGTCTAGTGAAAAACAAAAACAAGGTTTCTGACGTCAATGATGTTTTGAAGATGACAGTTATCAAGTATTCTTCTTCTAACTTCTCGTGGATATTTATCTCATCAGCTGAAAGTGGAAATGAAATCATCTAGTCTGACAATAAAGGATTTCCCTAGTAACATCATATCATAAAAAAGTATACAAGATAATTGTCGTTCATTAAGGACTGTTCACAAAATAGTTTTTTACGAAATATATATTCTCTGTAGTTGGTTTGTAAGGATTAGATTTGTTTTTACGAGTTGATCATGGATTTGTAGAAGTTAGTATTCATGGGCTGGCCATTGAATCGGGTGGGTCCCAGTGGCTGAATGGTATACGAGCCAGCTTACCTTGTCACCGGAAGGTCCTGGGTTCGAACCCCATGTGGCGGGTGGGTGCGTACTTTCGATGATCCCCAAACTAGGATGAAACAACTGGTTGTCCGGTACTCTCTGTGGCCGGTTTTCAATAGTTCTCTAACTGATATCAATCCGTGATCAACTCGTAAAAATATATATACATATTCACTCTTAAATCAGTGTATTATACTAGCATGTGTATAGTATGTGTTATCAGTTCTCCCAAATCTCTCGCCATAATTTGGGGTGGGGTTTGATCCGGTGTTTAGATCGCTTCGATAATCTGCCTAGTAAGCACTACACTGGTTTAATGTCAACAGTACCCAACTGTTCATTTCAGTCGACCAGTAATGTGTGATTTCATACAATTTTGAATGCTGTCTTGATTGCCATTTATACTAACAAGCAAATCATACATTGTGATCTAAATAATTTTGGTTTCCAAAATAAACTGTGATGCTCTGATTAGGCACTAGTAACTAGTGTGATGTGTCTAGTCCTTTCTTCGGGGAGCAGACTGAATTCTATCAGTCACATTTGCAATGTGGCTTCCTGTGGCCGATTGCTTCCAACTATCTAATATCATCAAATCAATGTGCACCATGATGGCTTGCTACTTAGTGGCATGGTGGCCACATTGCAAACCTGACTGATAGAATTCAGTCTGCGCCCCAAAGAAAGGGCTAGACACATTGCACTAGTTACTGACTAGTGTCCAATCAAAGTATCCACTACAGCCCTACAGGAGGTCAATCGCGAGCCCGAATAGCTGCTCAGTGGTAACGTCTCTGACTGCAATACTCACTGGGTGACGCGAGTTCGAATCTCAGAAGGGACTCCAATTACTTCAAGTTGGTTGCAACATACGCCTTGCTGACTAGTGAGTGCCAACTAGCACGAAACACCTAGGTCCAAGGCTGGGCGGTTCCTGTCGATTGCCTCCAACCATCTAATATATAAACTGTGATGAAATTTCACCTCATCAAAGTGTGTCAGTTGTGAATTTGATCGATGATGTTATACCAGTTCGCCCAAGTAGCTAGGTGAAAATTGAATGGTTTCAAGTGATTCAGCCTTCTGAGCTGAGTCGAACCACACTGATGAGCTTGTCTCCAAACAAGCAAAACAGTCGTCTAGTGTTTATATGTATAATTCAATCTGGTCAGTAAGCACTACCGGTGTACAAATACTCATATCAATCAACCAATCAATAGTAAGTATATGGCATGATGCATATTTGTGTTCTCATTATGTTTTTTTTCTCCTTTTATTTTTATAGGTTATGAAAATGAAGGATGGTTTGATCCGTCTAAACTGCTTAAAGCATTGAAAATAAAATGTCATTTTATGGGAGTAAATTATGTGATTGGTGAAGTTATCGACTTTGATGCAAGTCCACATACAGTGAAGTATCGTTTCACTGATAGACCGTTAAGACCTTCAATAATGAGTAGACGTTTAAGTTCTGCTACAGTAGGTGACCTTTTAATTTCTCACCTCTTTTTTTATTTTATTTTTACGAGTTGATCACAGATTGATATCAGTTAGAGAACTATTGAAAACCGGCCACAGGGAGGACTGAACAGCCAGCTGTTTCATCCTATTTTTGGGAATCATCGAAAGTACGCACCCACCCGTTACATGGGGTTCAAACCCAGGACCCTCCGGTTACAAGGCAAGCTGGCTCGTATACCATTCAGCCACTGGGACCCACCCGATTCATTGACCATCCCATGAATCCTAACTTCTACCAATTCGTGATTTAGCGCAACCACCAACCAATGTCATCGGTGGGACATCTATCCGCATACTTGACTGGATGGACCTCACTGGTCACGACTTCTCACTAGAACTTCAGGAAACTCCGTCCTGTAGCAAGTCATTAGCGAGCATCAGATTAATTTTCTATAGTTTGGTTTGTAAGGATTAGATTTGATTTTACGAGTTTGATCACCAGTCAAGTGTGAGAATGGATGTCCCACCGACGACATTGGTTGGTGGTCGCGCTAAATCACGAATTGGTAGAAGTTAGAATTCATGCACTGGCCATTGAATTGGGTCACTATATGGTATTTAGTAAGTTATATTAATTTCCACGAGTTGGCTTGTAAGGATTAGATTTGCTTTTACGAGTTTAACCACGGATTGATATCAGTTAGAAAACCATTGAAAGCCAGCCACAGGGAGGACTAGACAGCCAGCTGTTTCATCCTATTCTGGGAATCATCGGCATTACTCATGGGGGTTCGAACCCAGGACCTTCCGGTTTCAAGGCAAGCTGGCTTGTATACCATTCAGCCACTGGGACCCACCCGATTCGATAGCCAGCCCATGAATTCTAACTTCTTTTTTTATATTTCTATACGCATTACCAATTGTTCTGTATGTTCTTGTTGTGGTGTCTCTCTTACATATAAGAAAATCTTTGTATCAAAATTTACTGAGTAAACATAGTAGTCTATTACTTCTAATTAATTACCAATGAATTACTCTGAAGTCTGTGTGGAGGTCAACAGCATTCAGCGTCAAAAATGAGATCCGGATTTTCAACTCCAATGTGAAGTCAGTGCCACCATACGGATCAGAGACTTGGCGCGTCATAAGGAGCACCTCAAAAAAACTACAGAGCTTCATTAACAGCTGTCTTCGCTCAATACTCAAGATCAGATGGCCAGAGAAGATCAGCAACAAAGACCTCTGTGAGCGAACCAACCAGGAACCAATTGTGAAACAAATAGGCAGGAAGAAATGGAGATGGATTGGCTATACTCTGAGGAAACCATCAAGTGACATCACTAGACAAGCCCTTGAGTGGAACCCGAAAGGGAAGCGGCGAGTTGGTCGTCAGTGCAAGGTTGACTTGGTGGAGGTCATGTGAAGAGGATATGAAAGCATGTGGGCAAACTTGGAGCCAGGTGAAGACTCTAGTAGAGAACCGAAGGCAATGGAGATGCACGGTTGAAGCCCTATGTTTCTCTAGGAATTAAAGGAAACAATAATATTAATAATAATTAGCAATAATGCGTATATTTTTAAAAAATTTTATTTCATCTTCATCCTCCTCTGGGACATTTTGACTTTCAGATAATTGATTTCATAATCTAAAAAATCGATTTAAGAAAAGAAAAGTATTTTAAGCGAAGAAATGTTTACTTTTCAATTAGACCGTCTCTCTACTCATATACATGTATATATGCATATTTCAGAAATTTATCGATTTATTAGTGATATGTATTAACAATAATTACTCAATATCAACATTTTCAAGAGTTAGTGACTGGCTACGGGATAGATTTGCCTGGAGTTCCAATGAAATGTCGTGACCAGTGGGATTCACCCTGTCGGAAGTGAGAGCAAATACTCACCAGTGACATTGGCTGGTGTCAGTCACACTAAAATCACAAATTGGTAAAAGTTGGAATTCATGGGCAATGGAATTGGGTCGCAGTGGCTGAGTGGTATACCAGTCAGCTTGCCTTGTAACCGGTGGGACCTGGGGTCTGGACCCCCGCAGAAGCGTACTGTGAGAAGTCTCAAACTGGGGTGAAACAGCTGTCCAGTACTCCCCGGTTTTCTAGTGGTTCTCTAACTAATATCAATCCGTGACCAAACTTAAAACAATATCAACATGTCAAATTGGTGATAACTAACCAAGAAAATTAATACAGAAGTTAATGTGTAGAAATAATTGCGAAAATTCAAACAAGTGGATTACGTAATGCATAATTTTGGAAAAATGGGGAGTAATTAAGAAGTAAATAAGTTCAGCAGGTCAGGTGTGAGGACAAATAGTCGCCGAAGACATTGGCTAGCGGTTGCGCTATATCGTGAATTGGCAGAAGTTAGAATTCATGGGCCATTGGATCGGGTCCAAGTGGCTTAATGGTCTACGAGCTCGCCTTCTAACCAGAAGGTCCTGGGTTCGAACCCCAGTGGGTGCGTACCACTGAAGAGTCCCGAACAGCTGTCCTGTACTCCCAGGTTTTCTAATGGTTTTCTAACCAATGTCAGCTCATGTTGAAATCGTGTAACCAAGTAAATAAGTGTCCAGATTGATTACGTAACAAGCAATTAAAGATAAAGTAGTCATAATAATAAAATAATTTAAACATTGATAACTTTTAAAAGGCTTAGGGGGATGGGGAATTATCATTTTTTTTAATATTCATGCATCGATGGCCGAGGTAAGGAAAACGATTAGACGGTTTTCGGCTGAACACAGAAATTCAGCTTCTTTAAGTGGATTCCGATGGCTTCAGCTGTATGTCGAAAACCAACTTGTAGATCGAAATCAATACTGTTTGAAATGCGACAGGGTAACTTTAAATGTTTCATTAATATCAACCTTATACTCATCATGTACACAAAATGTGCTAAAACAGAGCTACGAATAGATTTTGTTTGTCCCTTGCTTAAGTATGAGGGATAATGCTTAGGAAATACATTGATACACCTGCCTAATTGTTCGCTGAATGTAAAAAGCTCCACTGGAGCAGTCAAACTGGTAGATACACATAGAGGAGGCGAAATTATTCTTATTTCTAGGATGTAAAATTGGAGTGGTTGTGAACAGACAGTGTATGTCTTCTCAGTATTACTCAAATTCAGTGGCATTATAGGATGAGCAATATGGTGATTAATCGTAGAGAGTGACTGACTGGTTTTAACATAGAACTTTGCACCGATGTGCAGCAGCTCGAGTCGCCACACTTCACTCAGCACACAAAGCAAGAGAAGAAATGCAAAATAGAGACAGTAAACAGAGATATGAATAAAAAGAATAGTAATATAGAAGAACAATATAGTTTAATTGGGTATTATAAGTCACAAGGAGTGAATGCATCTCCGCCAACCATTGAGAATGATTTTAAGCCATATCAACAATTGCCTCCAGCCATCATTGGTTTTAACCATCCCGAGCACTCCGACCAGGAAGCTAGTATACACCTTCCCACATGGCTGGTTAGCTTAAACTAATTGTTGTGGATTTCATTGACTGATAAGGCCATGTTTTCGTTAGACCACCACTGGCTCTTTTCCAACCTGACCCTATGTCAGCTAACACTGCCCGTCGAGGAAAGCGATCGATAGCTAGGCATGCGTAACACATGTCCTAACCATCTCAATTGATGTAATTTCACAGCCTCGTCGACTGATTTCCCCTCACTCCTTACCTAGCACTCGACTGACGCCTAACCTCAACATTGCTCACCCTATTATACCATTTCACACGGGAGATAGAACTCAGAAAACTATAATCAGAGATAGCTAGCCGACCTTTTCATGTCCTCGACTCTTAATGGCCAGGTCTCACAACCAGCCATAAAGGAGAGTGGAGTGGACTACTGAGTAGTACATGCGCCCTTTGGTCTATAGCCGGATATCTTAGAGCTCCAGGTCAAACAGTGAGCTCATATGCTAAAATCACGATCCGGGATAGTTGGAACATGTTTCATGCATACCCCTGTCGATAGTCTAACTCGATGTAGAATGTTAGCAAAATTAGAATTAGCTTTGAAGGAAGTAAAGAATAATCAAATGAAGACAATGCCAACCGCAGATTTAACTTACTGAGCAATATGGAGCACTCCCTTCCCTTTCGTCTACATGACCATCAGAACCTATGGTTATAAACTTTGGATGATGTAATTCAAAATTGATAACAGTCGCTGAGACGTTTTGTTTTATAGGGCTGTATGTATATCTTTTGGATTATACCATTTTAACTCATTATTAAGTTAATAAGCCTGATTCTGCCTTACCAATCTTCAATTAATTTTAGATTTCTCTTCCTGACGGAACAAGAGCACGTATTGGTTTTCACTCAGTTGTTAATGCAGCAGGTCCATGGGCAGGGCGTGTTGCTCAATTAGCTGAAATTGGCACTGAATACCTTCCAATACGATTACCAGTTGAACCAAGGTGATTAATTTTTTAATAGTTTCTTCCTGTTTTTGGTATTATCTCTTAACTTATAAATGTGTGATCATAACTCTTTCATAGTTGCATTGGAAAATGATCGCAAAGACTTATCGGTTAGGCGCATGTTTTTTTTATGTGCTCTCTAAACTCAATGGTTTAACTGTAAGACTTTGGATGTCTTCCAAGACAGCATTTTCAGTGCCAGCTTCTAAGTGAAGTTACTTCACTTTTACATGATTAAATAGAGCAGGATCTGATAAATAGGATAAATACTTCATCTATCATCTTGTTTATCTTCCCTAGAAAGTAGACTTGCTTATCTCCCTGCCTTTCTGTAGACTATTCTCTTCTGATACACATATAGCTGTCTTTGATCACATGTGCCTGCATTCTATCTCCCGTGTGTGTTAGGTGGTATAATAGGGTGAACAATATTGAGGTGAGGCATCGGTTAAGTGCTAGGTAAGGAGGGAGGGAAAATCAGTCGCTGCTGCTGCTGCTGCTGCTGGATTCAACATAGAACTTGGCACCGAAGTGCAGCAGTTCGAGTTGCCACGTTCCAAATAGCACACAAAGGTAGACAGGAAAATGAGAGAAGAGAATCAATAGAATTTAGATAAGTATAAGAGTGAAACAGAATGAGTAATGGTAGAAAGGAATATGAAGGTTAAAGAGACTGAATACATCTGCGCCATTGACAACGATTTTGAGCCATGTCACCTATTGTCTCCAGCCATTGATTCTTAGAGTCCCGAGGGCCCCAACCCGGAAGTCTGCATCTCCCTACCTGACTCAGTTTAACTGTCAGGGATTTCATGGATTGATGCCATGTTTTTGTTTGGCCACCACTTACTCTTTTCCAACCTGCACCTATATCAGCTAGTAATGCCCGTCGGGGGAGACGATGGTTAGGCATGCGCAGCACGTGACCTAACCATCTCAATCTATGTAACTTCATAGCCTCTTCGATTGATTTTCCCTCTTTGCCCAACACTCTACGCCTAACGTCAACATTACTTACCTTATTATACCACCTAACGCGAGAAAGAGATCGTAAACATCTGTGGTCAAAAACAGACAATCTCTTCATGTCTTCCGCTCTCAATGGCCACGTCTCACCGCCATAGAGAAGGACGGAGCGAACTGCTGAGCAGTATACACGTCCCTTGGTTGACAGCCGGATGTCACGCCTACGCCAGAGACGGTGTAAGTTAGCGAAAGCAGCCCGAGCTTTCTGGATCCGTGCTGTGATTTCGTCACCAATCAATCCGTTGGTGCTGATACAACTTCCCAAATAGGTGAAGTGGTCAACATGTTCTATCACTTCACTCCCTATCACTAAGCTAGGAGTTGACGTAGTCCAGTCCTGTAGCAGCATCTTACATTTCACAGGGGCGAATCGCATGCCAAACATACGAAGATTGCTGCTCAAGGTGTTCAGAAGACTCTGCATTTTGTCAGCGTCCTCCCCTAACAGGACTATGTCGTCTGCGTATTCTAAGTCTATAAGACTATTCCCTGGTAACAAGTCGATTCCTAAGTCGTTAAGTTCAGTTAAGGATACTTCCATTAGCATATCTATGATGAAGTTAAACAGAAAAGGGGAAAGTGGACATCCTTGACGGACACCACTGGTTGTTATCAATTCAGATGACAATTCCCCATAAGCCCTTACACAGCTACGTGAGTTTGAGTAGAGTGCCTTGATTAGTGCAATGTACTTTCTTGGCACTCCCTTCATAGTCAAACATTGCCATAGTACCTCTCGATCCACGGAGTCGAAGGCCGCCTTCAAGTCAAGAAATATGGCAATTGTTGGACGCCTAAAAGTGTGTCTATGTTCTAGGATCTGTCGGAGAGTGAAGATATGATCTATGCACCCTCTACCTGGCCTAAAGCCCGCTTGATTTTCCCTCGTTTGTTCCTCCCGAGTTCGGCTTAGTCTGTTCATGATTACTGAGCCTAGGATTTTAGAGACTATGTTCGTTAGGCTGATTCCTCTATGATTATCACATGAGGACTTGTCTCCCTTCTTGAATACTGGTATAATAAGTGACTTACCCCAGTCTGATGGAACCGTCTCTGATTCCCAGACGTTACCTAGTACCTTAGTTAAACTATATACTAGTATGTCACCCCCATATTTAAACACCTCCGGAATAATTCCGTCGGGTCCTGCCGCTTTGCCTCGTTTCAAATTACAGATAGCTTTGGTGACCTCACTTACAGACGGCGGGCCAGTGTCTATGTCCCATTCGGGTGTGTGCTGGATGGCGGGGAGGCTCAGTGTGGCTGTAGGCAAGTTAAACTGTTCCTCGAAGTGTTCTTTCCAGCGTTCGAGGCGTCTATCCTGAGAGCTAATTAAGGAGCCATTTTTCTCACAAATAGTCTCACTTATGATTTGCCTTCTCCCACCCGTTTCCCTGATGAGTCTAAAGAGTTGCCTAGTGTTGCCTATCGCCGATGCTTTTTCCATCTCTTTCGCCTTTGTCAACCACCACTGTTCACGGTCCTTGCGGAGACTTTTCGTAAGTTTCCTTTTGTGCAGCTTTCGCTCCTCATTGAATTCGGAGCTCGCCGGAATAAGTCTTCTAGCATCTATCAGTTCGGATGAGGCAGTCGAAATCCAATGGTTTTTACTCACCTTTGGATTTACCTTATTCACAGCTTTTACAGCTGTATCTATGGCTGATTGAATATTCTTCCAGGCTTCTTCAGGGTGAGCGCAGCTGTCGAACTCAGATATGTGTTTAGCTAGTTCTTCCTCAAATAGGGACTTAGTTTCCTGATCGAGCTGGGGACGTGATGGGTTTACCGCCAGCTGTTTCCTACGTCCGTTCAGTCGTAAGCACACACGAGCGCGGACCAGTGCGTGATCGGTATCTACACACGTGTTCCAGAAGGAGCGACAATCCCCTACCGACCCACGCCAACGATAGCTTATTGCTATGTGGTCTATTTGTGTCCAGCGTTGGTTTGATGATGGAGGTCGCCAGGTCAAACAGTGTCTCTCCTTGTGTTTGAAGTTAGTGCTTACAAGAAACAAGTGATTATCTGAACAGAACTGTAGGAGACGGTCACCGTTGTCGGTTCGCTGGCACGGAATTCCGTATGTGCCACCGACATTCTTCTCAGATTGACACAATTTCCCCACTTGAGCATTAAAGTCACCAGCTAAAACGACTATATCTGAGCGTTTAGCCTTTCGCAGCAAACTAGACAGCTTTTGGTAGAACTCATCCTTCGTTTCATCCGAACTGCAGTCAGTGGGGGCGTAGGCGGAGATTACGAAAAGGCATCGGCGAGTAGTGCAGTCCTTTCTCCTTTTCACTGATCCGTTCAGACGGACAGCACACATTCGGCTATCTACCGGGATCCAGTCAAGTAATGTCTTTTCTGCCCTAGTACTCAAAGCTATCCCAACACCAGCTAATCCTCGTGAGCTAGCCGTCGCATCTCCTGACACCCTCAAGGTGAATTTTGCAGATTCATCCTGTTGGCCAGGTGGGGTTAGGTGAATAACCACACTTGGGTCTTGTATGCGTGTTTCTGAAACACAACATACATCAATGGCTCGGGATGCCAGAGTCTTGGCTAGTGATGCCTGTTGTCCTATTTGGCAAAGTGTCCTAACATTAAATGCCCCTATATGAAATTGGTGACGTGGCTTTAGGAGACTATCGATGGTGGTTTTTGGCTTCCGTCGTTTTCAGTGCACACAGAGTGAAGAGGAAGTGAAGAGCCATTAAGTAGAGGAGTTGCATTAGTAGAAGGAAGGCAAGATAATAGAGATGAAGATGAAGACAAAGGTGAGTGAGGATTAGAGAGGTTTCGCGTGCACTTCGGATTGTGAGGGCGATTGTTACTTCCCGGCTGCCCACACCGTGGAAGTTGGTTGCGTGACCGCAGAGCCCAGGGGACAACTGCTTGAGGCCGGTCACACACGGCCTGTTTTTGTTTGTTGTTTTTCATTTGGTGTGTCTCAGTAGCGTATTTATCACTTCTGCCCTGTGACACGGCAGCAGAAAGCGCGGTCGTTGTTAATCCGGGCCCCGACCGATCCGGCATGATATTTTGTGATTTATTTGAAGTCATAGGATTGGATTGGGTAACTGCTTTTAGTCTAACCGCTATCCAAACAACCTTTCTGGCATGGTAGGACCTGCAGGAACATAAGTTCCAGCCAGTATAGCTTGTTGGGTCATTGCGGTGTTCAAGCCCGACCACCACGTCAAGGTAGCAGCTTTCGGTCGGGGAAGTCAGTCGACGGGGTTGTGAAGTTACATCGACTGAGTTGGATGGTTAGGACATGCGTTACGCATGCATGCCTAGCCATCGATCGCCTTCCTCGACAATGGGCAATGTTAGCTGACATAGGATGGATCAGGTTGGAAAAAAGCCAGTGGTGGTCAAACGAAAACATGGTCTCATCAGTCAATGAAATCCACAACAGTTAGTTTAAACCAACCAGCCAGTTAGGAAGGTGTAAACTTCCTGACAATTGGTGATATAGCTCAAAGTGATCGTTGTCAATGGTTGGCACAGATGTATCCACTCCCTGTGACTAATAATTTCCAATGAAACTGTATTGTTCCTCGTTATTACTATTCTTTTTGCCTCATATCTCTGTTTACTGTCTCTATTTTGCGTTTCTTTTTACTTTCTTCTCTTGCTTTGTGTGCTACATGGAGTGTGGTTACTTGAACTGCTGCACATCGGTGCAAGTTCTATGTTGAAAGCAGACAGACAGACCCAGAAAATTGTTCGGTTGAATTCAGTCATGGTTTGTAGTTAGGCAACATGGAGTCGATTGCCATCATTATTATTTGGTAGTGGATTACTGCACTTAAAACAGTTGAGCTAACTATGATATTTGAATATTACTGTGTAATAGACTGTAGTTTGTTATGTGTTATGCATGCAAAGTCACCGCCATTCTCGACGATCAGTGTTAACTACCTAGTGATGATGGCTCGAGCCGACCACATTAGGAGTTGTAG